CAGTGGTATCATGACCAACTAGCGTAGCAAGTTTTGAGGGTTTTTTTGTTTGCAAATCAAGACCAGATTTATTAACCCAGGGTGAAGCATGTTTTTTTAAACAAGTTTTCAACCTGTTTTTTCCTGATAAAGGCATACATATAGATCTTTTCAAATACAAAATAAAGGCCTCAGTCATCTGCAGGATCCTCTGCAAGTAATGGCTTCTTTAACATCTTTGCATGCATAGCTACTGACCAAGACCTTTAGAATGGACATTGTGCCTACCTGTATACATCCACCATGCAGTCTTAAAGGCCACAACAACTCTTGGCAACAGTGAACAGGCTTGTTCTGAGGCCTCAAGTCTTTTTCCAGAAATAGTATTGCATTTGTCGTGCAGAGTCCCAGCTGCAGCTGCCTTGTCTCTGAGATGCAAGAACCCAAAGAGCAGCCGTGCCACAGGGCTGCCTATTCACAGCTCCCACATCTTCAGAACTGTTGCCAACGTAGCATCTATTTTTTCAGAGGCTTGAATGTGCCAGGAAGCAAACCAAAGCCCCAGAGCCTTGTAGGGGCTAGGAAACTGCTGACACTGTTCCATTTCACAGATACTTCCCAACCTCCGTTAATACTTGAAGGGTTTTGGGCAGGGCGGAGGGAGGAGACACGAGTAACAGAGCTGCTGACTGCTAGTATTGCATCTGGCTTGTGCATTGTTGTAAGCAAACTAGCTGGTTGTCACCCCAGCTGACAAGGATAGACTAAAAAACATTATATTCCAAAGTAAAACGCAACAAACTTGTTTATTTTTTTTTCAAATAAATATTTACAAGGCCGTTGTTCATAACATGTTCTGGGATACTATTCTATAAACTGTCTTGAGACATGAGAAATATTTGTTCTTTCAGTTTAGAGACAGGAACCAAAAGAAGGCACCCAGAAGTCAAGAGCGGCAGTATCTGTGCTCATGAATAGCCCTTATAATACTGTGCCTAAAAGAAGGTAAAGTTACTAGATTAAACACAGAATATGCCCTTAGCAAATGCATTTTTAGCCTTTTCTGAACCTATTCTGCACCTATTAAATTCCCTGAAAGCCATTAATCAGATTATAATATAAGGCTAGTAAATGAGGCAGATACAGCAGGGCAGTCAATAACCTGCTTTTGACCAATCCAGAAATTCAAGAAAAGCATCAGCAGTGACAAGTGCTATTATCACCCATAGGCTATTTCAGACAAAACCATGGCTCACAAGCGGCATTCTTAATAGGCAGTGTTAGGACTGGCAGAAAAAAGCGAATATGGTTTCTGCTCAGCGTCACTAGGAATGAAAAAGATTACTTACAAAATTTTGTCGGTTATCATGAAAACACGCTTTGATTTGGTCTTGCCTTTAAGCCGTTTCAGCAGCACCTGGAACCATAATTCAGCCCAGTGGCTACACAGCTGCCACACAAGGCATTTTGCCTTTCTGCTCACACACTACACCTTTTACCAAGCTCAAAGGGCGAAGGATTACTGTCAGTTTGTGGCAAGCATGGCGTTTCTCTTGCAAGAACGAGAGGGAATGGCTTTAAGCTCCAACAGGGTAGATTTAGACTGAACATTAGGAAAGAGCGGTCGGGCATTGGAATAGGCTGCCCAGGGAGGTGGTTGAGTCACCATCCCTGGATGTGTTTAAGAGCCGTTTAGATGTGGTGTTAAGGGATAGGGGGTAGGGGAGAACTTTGTAGAGTAGGGTAGATGGTTGGACTTGATGATCCCAAGGGTCTCTTCCAACCTAGACAATTCTATGATTCTTGGCATCAGTTAGGAAGAGGCTGAGATGCCTGTAGGTGGGAGAACCATTTTTCCTTCATGCTTCATCCTCCTGCATTCAGAGTATGTTTTTTCTATTTTTCTTCCCTCTTCAGGCCAGTTACCCAGACTGAAGTTCTTGTCTTCCTTCCTTCCCCAGGAAGGGGATGCAGATGAGAGCAGCTCTCATCTACAGTCCAACCCCAAACCAATTAAATAGCCAATATCCTGTGCACAAGGGAGCTGTACCCCCACCCGGCAGCATTTCCTGCCAGAATGATGGAAGGGCAGTTTTGACAATGTGAAGCACAGCACTGAAGTTCCCGTTTCATCCCTTGTCCTTCCTCTACATTTTGTGATTGGACTGATTCTAAGTTGTCAGCATCTCACTGGCATTCTCCATCTCCTTGCCTGTCTTGCAGCTTACAGGGATGGGGGAAAGTGCACTGTGAAGGTGCTTAGTTCAGATTCTTTAAAAGTTATTCATCTAGATATTCAAAAAAGCACATCCTTAGAATAATCAATACCTGATTACTTTTACATATTAAAACCAGTAGTTCTGCTACTGCTTCACCTTATTCTTTCCTCCTTTTCTAGGACTCTAACAACTGCTCAGAGCAACTGTTTAATTATGTGGAATCTGACCAAACTACCACAGCACATAATATTAAGGGTATCTTAGTTAGGAAGTTCATTTACAGAAATATTCTTTATGAATCAGACTGCATTCTGTCCTTCATACTTAGCTGAGCGTCCACACTATAATGCAAAACTTCATCCACACAGTTCCATGGTTTAGAAACACAGATGAAAGGAAGACACTGAGCACATGTATTAAGTGACTAGTTCACTGTCTGTTTCGTTGTGCCATAAGTTTACGTACGGAGACAAACTGCACAATAACAAGCAAAAAAATAAGTAAAATCACACTTGATTTGCAAACACGGCAAAACTCAATAGTTAAACATATTTTATTTGCAAATATGGCAAAACTCAATGATTCGGGAAATCTACAGGCAAACAAAAGTGAGAGAGATCTTCTAAAGTGGTAAAATCTTCCCCTTTTAATGCATTACTGACATGTTTTCCTTTAGTTCTAAGACAGTAATTTTAATAAGATTTCCTAGTTTTATATATTTCTCTGTCCTCTTGGTAACTTGGAAACTTTGACTGGTACATGTTGTCAAATTGGTATTGAAGATGCAAATAACTGGGAGGCTATTCGTGTTACTGTAAAACTTATCTGAAAGCAAAAAGTTAGTGCTCCTCTGTGCTAAGCCAGTTTCCCTCTTAACATCTAAAATGCCTAAATAAGACATCTTCATACAGAGGGTCTTCAGTTCGATTAGCTTACAAACTCCATATTAAAATTCAGTAGAAACTCTATGACAGTTTGTATCTTTTCTTTTTGGGACAATAAAAAGCATGTAGCTTAATAAAAAAGGGCTTAACTACCATTAATAGGGTTGTACATCACTGACAAAGACAAAGCCAGTGTACCAAAAAACAGACCCAGGGAAGCAGTATCCAGGATCACCCACAGCGACCTCAAAACACAAAGAGGAACTACAGTTGTCAGCGAGTTCCCAGTGAGTTGCCCAACACAATGTGGGCAACAGAACACATACACGAAGCGTCTTAGGACAGCAGTTCTACCACTGGCCTCTAGAGAACATAACTGGTCTCTTCCAGTCATGTCATATTTCTGGAAAAATGAAAATGAATCTATACAAATAGGACAGAAAATAGCAATGCTTCTTAAGATGTTTCTCCTGTCCTATAGCATTTGCAAAACAAAGGCTCACACTGAGAAAATACGTGCTGACCTTCCCTTGAAAGCCTGGCTCGTTGTGACACAACATCATGGTTTCAGCTAGGATAGAATTAACTTTCTTACTAGGAGTTGGTGTGGGGCTTTGTTTTGGATTTGGGGTAAGAAACAGCACTAATGTTTTCAGTTGTTGCTAGGCAGTCAAGGCCTTTTCTGGTCCTCATAGTGCCCTGCCAAGGAGCAGGCTGGGAGGGGATACAGCCAGGACAGCTGACCCCAAATGACCAAAGGGATATTCCATACGATGTGACCTCATGGTTGGTATATAAAGCTGGGGGAAGAAGAAGGAAGCGGGGGGAATGTTTGGAGTGATGGCATTTTGTCCTCCCAGGTAACCATTATGCGCGATGGAGCTCTGCTTTCCTGGAGATGGCTGAACACCTGCCTACCCATGGGAAGCGGTGAATGAATTCCTTGTTTTGCTTTGCTTGCATGCACAGCTTTTGCTTTAGTTGTTAAACTGTCTTTATCTCAACCCATGAGTTTTCTCATTTTTATTTTTTGATTCTCTCCCTCATTCCGCTGCAGGGGGGGAAGTGAGCGAGTAGCTGCATGGTCCTAAGTTGCTGGCTGGGGTTAAACCACGACACACAGCCTTTATGCATTTATGGCCATTAGTTGCAGCCAAACCACCACATTTTAGTACCTGCTTATTCATAGGTTGTTACTTTCACAGTTTCACTTGAGCTCTGTTTTTTGTATAGGTCACAGAGCAAGTTACTGCAGATCTGTGAAAAGAATTCGATCCAACAGTTTTATGATCCAAACAGTAACTGCCATCGTACAGATGAAACTTCTCCACTTGAGAACTTACATGGATTTTATATAAGCTTTTTAATTTTTGTTTTACCATTTTAAACTTGAAACTAGTATCAGCATTAAAAAACAGAACTTCGAAAACTAAGTCAAGTCATTCTTACGTACACTGACTTGTTTAGAATTGTGGTAGACAGGAAGATCAAAACCAGCCATATTCTGGACTGAAAAGAATCTTTGACTACTAAAAACCTGAAAGTTTGCTTAAAAACTACCGAAGTCTGAATTTTCCCCCTAACTGAACTGTTTGCAAAAAGAAATCCTCTCTATTTCTGAGAAAGTGCGTTTACAATTATTTGCCCACAGAAGTTGTAATATTCAATTTCCCATCCCACGATTCTGATTTTTCTGCTATGGTTATCCAAACGTCTGTGCTTCATTTAAGAGATGAAGACAAGAAGACAAGGCAATTAGTCTCAACAAATGTAACACCTGTTTTGCCAGCCCTCCTCAATACAGAAATTCTTTGGATTAACATTCCAAGGGATTGTATTAAAAAGAAAGAAGTCACCAAGTATGAGATCACCTGCAATACGGAAAATAAGATGAGTGATACAAACAGCTCTGGTTCCTCTAAGATATAATACATTTTACTTCCTCCTTATAGTCTATCATATACTCTGGGTAAATCTGGTGTTTTTCAAAGACAACAAAAATTGAGGGATTTAATTCATCATCCACACAGCTGTCATAAAACTGAAGCCCACCAAAAGACTTTGGTGGGGGGCGAACATAGGCTTCATTCCCTTTAACATAATCTCCAACCAACACACGAGCCACGAACATGACTTTTGTTTTTGCTTCAGGCTGACAGTATGGATGGGAATAGGAAGCATCTCTAGCAAAGTAACTTCCTAGAAAATGATAGGAAAACATGGTTATAAGGAATATGTATAAAGTGACAGTGAAAACTGAGCATCCCCTTGGTTTTTAGGAGGTATTTGGACCCAACTTTCAGGTTTCCTCTTACTCAGTTTACATAATACCATGGAAATTTTTACAAGAGAAAGGATTTCACCACAGAATTTGCATTCAGAATTTGCTATTTAAGGAACATTTTTTAAAAACCCAAAACATATAAAACCACTACAGGTATGTGTGTTAGGATGAGAGGGATAGACAAGAAAACACAAGGACCTTCCACGATTATACTGTGAGAAAGCACAACCTTATTGCTCCCTGCCATGAAGACTAACAGCTATTTCTTTGGCAAGTTCAAATTATGACCTCGAGCCTTCAGAAGGTCCCAACTACAGCAACAGAGGCTTTTTCAAATCCCTACATTAATTCTCTTAAGATCTCGTGAAATGACTTACCCCTGCACAAAGCAAATTCTTGTCCTCTCCAGAGGGAAGGAAGAGCATAAAACCAATTCCTACCTCTTTTTTTCAGCCTCTATAGTTGAAGACTTCAAAACTCCAATTGCTCTAGGAGCAGGGGAGTCTAAGTAGACATCTAACACACAGTCACTTCCTACGTACCGTTTCCATATTTAGTTCCATTGCTTCCACAAACTCTCCAGTCAAAGTTGTAATGGCAGATGGCTTCCATGAAGGACATCTGGGTTCCATGGAACAGCAACTTTTCATTTACTTCCTTCCCTCCATTTTCCCTTTTCATCTGCTCCTTTTGCCTAACAGAAAAATGCAGGGGTGAGCCATGGAAAAAAAGGTAGAAAAGGCTTTAAAGAAAAAAAAAAAAAAGTATATCATGCACCCGTAAGTATCAGCTGGATGAATTTCCAGTCTGCTTTCTTCTCTCTCAGCTTGGAGGATGAGGCAGACTAGCAGTAGGATGAACAATTACAAGATGAGCAATACACTGATACCACTGCCCAGCAATTCTAGATAATTCTGGCTTTCTTCCGTGAATTTAAGTAGGCATTGACACTATTACAGTCCCCACTATACCAACCTTTTGCTCCTCTGTAGGGTCCTACACGTTCTGCTTTAATGTCTCTTGTCCCCCAAACTCTGCAGAGTGGAGGTTGTACTAACCACTGAGCCTCCATGCTCCGGCAGTGTGTAAAAGCTGGAGGCAGCTTGTTTTTCCCTCCGCTAGTGAACTCAAACTGCCATACACCCTGAGCTCCTGCCCCTCAGTGAGATCGGTGCAGCTGAGGAGACAGCCAGAAGGAGAGAAACTGCGTCTTCTTTCACCGCTGAAGACCTTACTGATTTAGGCCAGAGTCAGACTGAGCTATGACCAGTATCAAAAGGGGAATCACAATGGAAGGCTCAACTGGTATCTCCCATCACTATTTCATAGCATCCATACATCCCACAGGTTTTCAGAAGCTGTTAAAGCAGACAAGACAGTAATATTCTTCAGGAAGTAATCAACTACAAAGTAAACGGAGTTGGGGAGAGGGGAGAATCCTTCCAAATTGTAAACTGTAAATGAGAAGTTAAGAGCAATGGACTGAAATTTGTTCAACTTGGCCTGTTAAACTCTGCTTGGTTAGCTTAATTATTTCATTGGAAGAGAATAAAAGAAAAAGTACGCACTATTACATGTTTTGAAGCATCTTAAGTTTTGCTAGATGGTTTATGAAACTATTAGCTGATAACTGCCTGGGTTCAGTCACTTCGCAGGTGAAAGTACTTACTTGAGCAGTATTTTTCTTCTCCATTACCATTCCATATAGTCCTTGAATACTTCCATTAAGTACCAGTGCTTTTGTTTTAAACTAGGCAACTGTTCTATGGGACAGCTTAACCTGCTACCCAATTAACCTGAACATGGTCGTTTATTGTCACTAGCACCAGGTCAAATCTGTTGGTATCTAGCTTGGCATGAGTACCTGGAGTTCAGTATCACTGATGCAGATGCTGAAAACCAGAAAAGAGCTCTGGAAGTCAGAGATCATTAAGTTAAAGCACAAGAATTCTTTCTCAGTGAGTACTGACTGCATTCAGTAAAGGTACTCAAACTCTTGAGAAAGCCTTAAATAAATCCGACTGGAAAAAAAAAAAAAAAGGCCCAAGCACCCTCTACCTTTGCCCACTTCTTTTTTAGCAAGTACTTCCTACAGTCTAGTGGATAAGCATTTGTAACAGACAGAAGGCATGTGCAGCAGGCAGTTAGCGTTCAATCCCAGCGACAATACACTATTCCACATCACTGTGGGTATCCTCATCCCTATTGTGCATTGTTCATGTCTTTCTGTCCATCCCCCCCCCCCTTCATCTTCCAAGGAGCCATGCAAAAGGAGCCTCCCTCCAGGAGCACGGCATTCTCTGGAAAGTCTTAGACACTTAATGTCACTCCTGAAACTGCCCCTAGGAAGGAAATGCCAGTCATGCTAAAGCACAAGTAGCAATGTCTTTCCTCTCCTAGGACACAGATACAGGACACCAGCTCTTGGAGACTCCCTCCCCACAAGGATTAGGAAAGAAATACTGACCATTGAAACACTTTCCAGAGGGATGGATTCTGAATCCTCTGTATTTTAAGGACACTGTAGCCTTTCATAGTCTGTTGAAACAGCTGCTTTATTGTGTTGTATTCGGAGGTTGTATTACTGAGCTCCACTGCCTATAAAATATAAACCAAAGCAAAAGACGACATGAGGCTTCAGTTAGCTCTTAACATGCAGAAGCCTAATTACAGCAGATATACTTTCAGAAGGGTCCGCAAACTACACTTACAAAGGTAAATTTAATGCTTTAGATCATGACTATGAGAATAATTAGGACAGACACTTAATATGTAAATCAGTATGTCACTCCTGCTTTGGAAAGACACCTCACCTCTCTTCAGGAAGGATGCTGAAAGCAAAAAGATCAATTATGTTTATCATCTCCAAGTAAAAGTTGATACTTGTAACTTTACATCTCAATGGAACAGAAAGTTAAAAAAGGAAACTTGACTGGTTATTCCAGATATTAGTTTTATATATATAAAAAAAATGTTAGACAACAGTATCGTTTGTAACCAGCCATTTAAGGGAGCTTCGGCTATTAAAGATGAAACAAACAAAATGCATACAACCTCCCAGCATCAGAGCTCTATAACTTTTCAAAGTTAAAACTTGGAAAGTTGCACTTAAATACAGACTTAAGAAAAGAAGCTACATTGCTAAACATAAGAGAACAATTACGATTCTAACAGGAATGTTACACTAAATACCTGCTTAAGCAAATGCATCTCCTCCTTCCTAAAGGAAACAAAGTCTATTTATCCATACGTTTCACATTTAAAAATCCATTGAGATGCACATTTTTCCCAAAGAAAAGTTAACACAAAACATAATTAAAACATGATTTGAGTTCTTCTGCTTGTCATGCATAAATTTTCCATTTTTTCCTTCAACGTAATCTGTATCTTTATCTTCTAGAATAAACACTTATCTTCCATAAACTTGACTGAAAATGCATAATGCTGGCAGACTGATGTCACTTGGTAATGCTTTCCATGTTACCACTGCCTAAGCCAAATGGGGACTCAAGATGACTTCAAGTGAAACGCCCAACATCCCAGGTATCAAAGTTGTGTTTTAAGCAGGAAAGCTGCAGTCATCCTAGGAGGTAATACGAAATCAACATCTTAACCTGTCAGGGAAAAAGCTCCACATTTTAGAAGGCTGAGTTTAGAGAGGAGATAAAATAGGACTTGTATTTCACAGCTGCATATAAGTAAAGACATGTTTTTCTGGACACCGTGTCCAGCTTGTGCATTAAATATTTACTGAAGAAGAGGCCTATCATAGGAAAGTCTTCTAAGGATTAAGAATAAAGTCAGCTGCACAAGGAAGAATTATTTCTTTGAATTTATTAAAAAGCTTTTACAAGGTTGAATGAAGTTTCCCAGGTCTTAATACAAGAGTATTTTCCAAAGCTTCTTTACAACACAACATATAAAACAATTCAGATATGCGAGTATTTGTTATCTGCATGCTCTGTGACACCACAGCTTAAGTTGCTCACCATCACCTACATGATGAAAATTATGTCACTATATTTCAGTACTACATCTTTTATTTATACATAATCAATTCTTACTTAGGCTACAAATACGCTTTTGCTATATTGCATCTTTTACTGAGGAACTGTAACTCTTCTGGGTAAAACAGAGGGTCAGCCACGTGCTACAAAGCCCAATCCTGTAAGAAAGGTACTTCAATTATTTTATCACATTATGGCCTCCAAGCAACAAAGCCAGTTCTTTTTCATGAAAACTTTGTGGCATTGTCCTTATTTCCCCGAGGACGCCGCCCTGCTAATAAAGGGTTAACATCACATTGCTACTGCAGGTTGACACTTCATAGCAATGTAACTTCTTTAGCTTTTTTCATCCTCAGACCTGAAAAGACAAATCCTAGAGAGGATAAGCATTTGCTAACCCACTGTCAAGAAGTGAGGCAGAGAAAAAAATCACTGCCCGGACAGTAATTGATAGCGTATGACTGCACAAGAACAGTACTCTGGGATATCAAGCCTTGACCTCGGGTTAACTTAGGTTTTGGAAGCAGCAGTTTGCCTTAGTGACAGTGACCCAACTAGAACGAATGTCTATAAAGTAGACAAGCAGACTGTTATGTTACATTAGCTGCCATTCCTGTTACAGCAAAACAGTCTGGCATGCATGTCAGGATTCAGCAACACAGCAGCCACACAAAGACTAATCCTGACATAAAAAACACACATTCATTGCACATATTCCTCAGCTGTACATTAAAGAAACAATTTAAAACCAAGCATGAAGTTCCAAGACAATATAAATTCCTTTTTTTTGGCCTTTAAAAGGTTTCCCAACTACAAATACAACTTTGTCAAACAAAGGCAGGAGACAGCCACATCAATCGGTGTTTCCAATTTCCATTGTGCATTTCATACACTGTACTTGCTATAGAACTATGATTCTAAATGATTTACAGATTAAGACACAGCAACACTCAAAAAATAAGCAATGTTACCAAAACAGAGCTGTTCTTTTTAAGCAAAGATGACTTTCTCCCTATCTCATATAGGTGTTCCTTTTTAAAACGGATCACTTCCAGCGCAGCAAATTTTGCCAGGATTATTTGTCAATGTCTGAAGAGAAGGGAATTCGGTCGTAATTGTCAGATGTTACGATGGTCACCACATGCATGCAGAATCCCAGCCAGTCCCAATATTACCTACTGCAAAAAAACAAGCTTAGGGTCCCACAGAAATATTTAATGTAGCCCAGGCTTTCCCTTTTAGTACCAATAGGTACTGTGGGCTTTGTCACTTTTTAGGAACAGAATTAACTCTTCCTTTCCTATGAAAGGCACTCAGTTTACAAGTTAAGAGATGGTTTTCTTAGGTGCCAACTCAGCAAGAAAACTGAGCTCTAGGAAATGAGATGATCCTTGTATTTCATGCATCCCCACAAGTACCACCAGTAACACCACGGATCTGCGTATTGCATTCCAAAGCCTCTCACACTCACCTCAGTGACTCCAGAAACACCCCAAATGGACCCAACTACAATTCAGACTGAAGTTTTCAGAGTAAATAAGGGAAGCAGTTAAGTACATACAACTCAGAGACCTAAAAAGAACAGAGCTACCTATCCTCCTGGCATTCTTTTGAAAAATTTAAGCTTATGTTAATCAGTTAAGCTACCAATAAGCCAAAGGAAGAGCTGATTAGCTATATCCATGATTATTTTGACAGAGCTCAAAATATCACAGGCCCAAATCTTCAAAAGGTGTGGCTGCCAGATTCCCACACAAACTCATTATCAGTTCAGGAGGTGCTGGACACTTGACACTTACAATCGTGAAAAAATAGGTTTTTTTGCTAATTGTGAAAAACAACTATTTAAAGGGAGCTAATGTACAGAGTGGTTGACTTAAATTTTGCCCATTGATTTTTCATCAGAACTGTATTTAGATGAATTTGCTATATATGCACGTGGCCAGGTACTGGTGTTACACTGAGTAAGGCGTAATCCAACACGAGAGTGTAGTCAGGGTATAATGAAACCTTCAGCACAAAGCAGAATAACATAAACCAGCCCTCAGAAGCTGACACACGTGATACTTCTTGTTCTTGTGCCACTGCCAATGTAACTATGTTAGGAAAAATAAAATACAGTGTCAATAGCAATGGGGCTCTCTGTCAACTGAAAGCAGCCAGAAAGAATTCTGGAAATACGATTATTACTTCTGTCCTGTCCCTGGCCATCAGGATATCCGTGCCAATGCAACTTGGTCAGCATCATACAAGATTCTGTGACAGTCAACAAGAAAAACCTCTTATGTTCCACATTATGTACTGTTCCTTAATCAGGGTCAAAACACCACTATAGAAAAAGGACAAGGGTAACATTGAAAAGCCTTTTTTGTAGCATACTGTAGTACTTCCACAGTCTGTGTTGCTCTTCCAGAAGGTCTGCTTCCTAATACCAATAGACCTAGTGATTTAAAAAACACCTACATGTTTTTGGTCTTGGTAGACCAAATAGGAACATAGACTTTGGGCTCATGGGTTTGTTTTACTGAAGAGATCACTGCAACTGTTTTTCGATATTATTGGCTGTAACTCTCTATTTCTGCCACTCCTTGAGGCCATGGTCTGTGCTCAGATCTGTGATGTATGTGACAGTACTGGGTGACTTGAAAGAGCATATAGAGATTTTCTTTCCTAGATCTCCAGTCCAAACTTTATCCACCAACAACCATGATGGTATTATTATTAGGCAGCTTTTCAATGTCCTGCACAGAGAGGGCTGGGTCTCAGCTGTGGCGGTATGCTCTCCCTGTCCCCCCTCCCCCTGCTCCTGCTCAAGCCATAACTGTCGTTGGTAGTTGTGATGGGTTGCACCTAGACTTTGGGGGATGGATGGCAACACAGTCCAATGCTGTCTGGAATAGGGACCTAGATGTCTCACTGGTATGCAAATATATATATGCAAATAGGTCAATCATCTTACTCTATAAATAGTGAACAGCCCAGGGCCCATTGAGCTGTCCTGCACAGCAGCAGGCTGCATGCCAGGTTCTCCCCTTGAGTAGGGACACCACTCAAGGTTACTCCTCGAGGTTAAGAGATTCCTTGCCACAACAGATCCTTGATAAGTGGTCGACAGCATGCTAAACTTTGAAATCTTAGCTAAGTGATATAAAGGATTGGTTGCATATATATAATCCTTCAGACATAAACCAATGACCAAGTCTGGGACTAGGATTGGATCCAGCAGCACCTAGACTCCTCTCTGAGAAGGAGTTCAGAAAGCAAGGGGGCCCCGTCTGAACCTCAACTCAGTGGGAGGGTCTCCCTGACAGTTCTGTCTGACCCTGTCCTCTATGCAGTAAATAACCTAGTGTGCCTTGCCATAGAGTCTTGTTAAAACACTGTCACATTTACTATCAAACTTTGTTAAATCCCTGGTTTATATCACTATTTTGCTGCTTCTGTCTTGAGTGAAGTGAATCACTCCTTCCACAACATCAGCCCAGTTTCTAGTGAAGAAATACACACTTCACAAAAGCCTCTTGCTTAACTGGTCCACTAAGTCACCAAAGTAAGCCATTTCGTTGTTTTTAACAGTGAATCTTTTTGTCACGAATTTGGTGAGTTTTGGTTTTGCATGTAGATAGATGCCTAAAATGCAGATGAAGTTCACGGGAATATGCCACCTTTTTCAAGAGCTCTTAGGAGATCACCCAGATCTTTAGCACATCCACCCAAGAAATCACTCCTGTCCCTTTTTAGCATCTACCCAGTTATAATTGCTTCAGTTAAGCAGCATCCTCCTTTGAACCGTGCCTTTCCATCAGAATTACAAGAGAGGAAAAGAAAAAAAAAAAAAAAAAGAAAAGAAAGAAAAGATACCTTGTATCCCCAGTCAGGTAATGCAGATTGATCCCAGTGGATAGGACAGGCTTGATTTGGAATAGAAGAATCCCTCTGGCTGTTTACAAACAGACAGAAAACAAAGTGTTAGTAATTCTAGTACTGCTCTGAACATTCAAATTGGAAGCATCCCCTTTGGCCAATTCCTACAAAAATAAACAAAATAAACCACAAAAACTGTGAAACGGCCTCAGTCTGTGAGCTGAGCTTTGCATGCTGCCATTCAGTTGCCACAGTCCTCTCTCACTTGCTTCTTTAAGAAACAACTGTCTATCACCAGTCCTATGGATGTGGTACCTGGAGTAACATGTACCCCAGAAACCAGGTGATGCACCAAGCCAGCAGTTTGTGATATAGCTTCTGTTCAGTCGAATGAATATGTTTTCTTCTAGCAACAGCTACATTCTTTGCACAATTTTGCCTTATAATTACTTCTGAAATATGAAAAAACAACAACTTAAAGAGCATCATTTACCCTTTCTTTATCTTCTGCACTTCTTCAGAAGACACAAACTTTGGTCGTCTGCAGACTCGTCTTTGAGTTTTATAAGAGATGTTTGTCTGGGTCATTTCTTGAGGAGAAAAGAGAAGAAAAAAAGAAGTCATGAACAAGTCTACAAGATGGGGTTATTAATGAATGACAGCCATTCATTAATGAAAAGTGGCATACTCGTTGCCAATTCTATCTGCTGAAGAACAGTTGCACAAAGTCTATATAAGCTTCCTGTCCTTCCTGTAACACTGTTATTTAACCTGTGCCTATCTTGATTGCTCCTTTAAGTCATTCACACTCTTTAAATGTTGCTCTAACAGCACAGAAAGATGCTTTGTTTAACTCAAAGTTTAATATGACTTTATGTGAAGACTATGTATCTTTTTATTTCTGATTCTATGTGAAGCTGGATAGTATCAAGGAGTAAGGGGGAAGGCTGCTTTTGTAAGGAATTTTCTCTGGCCCATCACTACCTCACTTCTCCTTCCAATGAGAAAAATCTGGTAATGTTAATAGAAGAAATCATAGCTTCCAAAAGTTGAGATAGCTTGGAAGTTAGTCTTTGTAAAGCACTGCATAGTTGTAAATGAAAATCTTTAAAATGAGTACCTTTAAAATTGAGCTGGTAATTATGCAAGCCAGCCTGAAAAGGTATGGTGGCATCTGGATCTGCTAGATACAAATTCTCAATAATTGCAGAAGATGGTGAGTTCACACTATTTCCTTCTCCCTTTGGGGGAAAAAGAGAAAAAAAAAAGAGAGATAGAGAAGAGTATGAGTAAACACAGTCAGGACTAAACCCTGGATAACTAGTTTGGGTAGAGGTCAAAGAGTAGGATGAAAAGGAATCTACTCAGAACTATTGTGGCCTAAAGTGTGATTACCAAACATTCACAACATGCACACAAATACATAATTAGCAATGACAGACACACATGTATCCCATTTAAACTTCCATAACAAGTTGCACTGGTTTTGGCTGGGATAGAGTTAAATTTCTTCATGGGAACACTTTCAGGGACACTGAAAGAGCAGCTATGCGGTGCTTAGTTGCCAGCTGGGTGTAACAGACTCCCTCGACTCCTTGACTAAACTAGCATTAGTTTGATTCAGGCTCCAAAGGAAGTAGAAGCCCGAACTAGCCTCCTCACAAGGCCTAGGCCATGACTGGGCCATGAACTTCTCCAGTTCCAACCTGTTTCCTGAAAACCCACATAAGAACATGGTGACATGGTGAGCATTGATGCATATAAGCTTGGAAACTGGAACACTGATCATGTGAGTAACAAATGAATAGCAGATGGTTCTTCCAAGACTAATTTGTCAAGGAACAAAGAACGTTGTGGGTACAAGGAGTCTCATGCTTGCCTTTTCCACTGCACACAATTTGACTACGAGCCAACCACTTTATTCCATAAATATGACAGCCTGAGTGAGCTTTTTTGAGCTCCCCCTGCTAAGGAGCAGGCTGCACAGTGGTGATCTCCCTGTGGGCTTGGATACCTCTAAAGGTTGCTCCTTGAGGCCGAGAGACCCCTTACCAACTGCAGATCTTTGGTAAGCAACCGATATTGTGCATCTTGTATTATAGCGTACTAAGGTTTTGTATTGGTAACTTTATTATTATTATTATATCCTCAGTGCAGTAAGTAATAGAGTGAACCTTGCCAGTGGACTTTGTTAAGTCTCACCTTTACAACATCCTACTTCAATTAAAACTACTTTTGCTGTTAACTTTGGCAATTTTTAAACAGTCTAAAGTGTCCCCCATGTCAAACTGGCATAGTTGACAGATTCTAAATCTGCTCCGCTACACCAGGGTTAACCACAATGCAAGTATAATTCTCTAATGTACAAAACAATGTAAAATACAAGGGTATGCTGATGGAGATGCTTTCCATTTAAGCTGCCTACTGAAATCAAGATCCACCATTAAGAGAGTCATTACATCCATCATTCTTTCCCTGCCTACTTTTCCATATCCCTGGATCACCTTTGTGTTCTGCCATTTGGGCAGCTATACTGTAAATCAGATGGGGAAAACTCATCTGCCTTGGGGGGAAGGACAGATTCCTTATTTATTTCTTTTCCTGCATTTTCCAGATTTTCCTCTCAAAGAGTATTTGGCCACCCAAACAAAAAGGTAACATTTGATCTGAGAGAGCTTCCTTGCATATCCAAGGAAGCAGGACAAGGCTCAGAAGAGAGGCGAGACTAGTTCCTGAATAATTTAAAGGGCAACACATGTCAAGGACAGTGTGTACATGTTAAATCTGCGTAGAAGCCATGGACAAATCCAAAAGGGGATCTGACTAGAGAAGCCAGCACGTATCATCAAAAACACTCTGACCAACACAAGCTGAAAAAAAGGATTTTTGATTTCCTGCATTTGCCAACAAGGTCTTTGTCAGGAAAGCAGTTGTAACAAATCATCCAGGCACAAAGATAGACAGTTGATCGTATTGAACTTTGCTGCAAGGAGATAAGGTGTGTTCCCTCCTCTCCAGCCTGTCATGATTTTATCACATCTGCTATGAACACCTGTAGCTTCACTGCCTTACTTGACACTGTAAAATTCAAGCACAAGTATTTGCTTAATTAACCTTGTCGAGTAAAGGGGAATGGGGGCAATAGGCTCCACACATTTCTTCAGAAGTGATTCAAAGCACAGGATATGGACTCACCTGTTCTCCATATTCAATCCACTGGCCTTGGTCATTCTTCCAATACCAAATCCACTGTGTAGTCAACACAAATGTGGGTTTTGTGACTGATGATGGTGTAGAGAGACGTCGAACTGAAGAAGAACCGCAGGTCATTGTCTGAAAATTAATGTTCTTTTCTGCTATGCTGTAAGGACAAATTCAGGTTTATTATAGTTAACAGTATATATTTTATCCTCTAGTCCCCAGTTTAAGATGGTGCAGTTTTCTTTAATGTGACTGCCTGAACTCAAGACTAAATAAGAGTATTTCCCACAGCATGCATGGCAGCTCTGAAAACTGTTTCCAATCTTCAGAAGCAAACTATGGCCTCTGACACACTGAATGCCATCTCAATTGCTAGCCAGACATTGCACTGCCAGCTTTAACAGACAGTCTGAGGCTACGTGTAAAATGTGGCAAAAGGCATTTCTGCAGTAAATAAGAATGATTACAGATTTTCTCAGCATAAAAAAATAGAAGTTGGTAAGTACCTGACTGAGTTTGCCAGCAAACACCTGCAGCTTATCAACTTTGCTCTTACTCTACCTTTACAGAGGATGCAATCACAGCTGTGCAATGCAATGCAAATAGCATTCATCAGTGGAGCCACCTGGACTCTTACTCCTGGGAGGCTCAAAAAATTAACTCTCAGGCAGAAAGACTTTGGAAAACAGCCTCCTCTTCGGAATCTTGCTTGTGATTTGCACCACCCAGCAGCCTAGTCAAGCTGCAAATCAAAATCATCTGTTGTCTGGAGAGGCATGGGCCAAAATAATTATATCATTTTATTGAGATCAAACTTGGGGCCCCCTGCAAATCCAGGTGGCTTACAGTGGGGCTTTCAAAAAGGAGTTAAAGGAAAAATGTGCTCTCAAAAAAAAAAAAAAGAAAAAAAAGGTGGGCTGCTTACACACAAAGGGCATTTCATAAAACTCCTCTAGGCACATTATAGATATTATTATAGGTACCAGCTGTATTAGGAGAGGAATAGCCATAGAGAAGAGCCATCTCTGAATTGCTGTTAAAAGGCCCAACTTAATTATTATAGATAAATTATAATTCATTACCTGAAATACTAATATTCTAAGTTCTAAATTCCACCCACTTCTTTTTACCCTGTATAGAATTTTAAATGCAAGATATTGTTGTGTTATTTTTAGAAGAAAAAAATGGGGTGATATTTCCATGCAATCACTTTTACTTTTCTTTTTAAAAGAAAAATTCTCATTTGTACATCCTCCCAGATTCTGAGAAGCTGAGAATCAGAAGTTACGGAAGTCAGACATCTTTAGAAAGAAAAACAAGAGTTTTTCCTCAGGGGCTCAACCACTAAGCAAGCAGTCCAGTATCATTATACCTGTTGTTTTTTGGATCACAATAGGCCTTTTCAATTTCCTCCATCATGGAAAGGTCATTCCAGGTGATCCCGCTATATACCTGCCATCGATATGGCAAATGGTAATGAACAAATCTGCATTTATCTGTAATGAGATCAGACATAGTCAAGAGCTCTGCAATCATAACACAGAGAGCAAGACAAGAGAAAAAAAAAAAAAGCAGCAGCATTTTTTACACTCTGGCTTTGTCTAATGGGGTTTGGTATGAGCAGTAAAGATAGAGTGCTGAAAATAGAAATATGTTTGAACAATAGGGGTGTATGTTTCTCCAGTCTTATCTAGAAAAGCAACATGAGCTCTCATACTGCCAAATACATTTCAAAGAAACCACAGCCTTCCCTTTGCTGAGGCATGACATCGGCAGCTGGGTGAGCAGGGCCACACATAGGAAGCATGTGTCTATATGTCACACCACTATGTTTCTCAGCTGTAAAAAGTCTAGTCTACACATCACATAAGTACTCCGATATATTTGACTCTCTTTCCCATAGTCCCTTAGTGGTTACAAAGGCCTGAATGTACTATTTTTCTTTTAGGCCCAGCCCAATGAATGAGGCAGCATAAAGGACTGCAATACTCCACAGAACATCGCCCAAGAGGGACCCTACACTCACCCCTGAACAGGTAGCACACTGCCCTGTAAGAAGACTGCTAGGCACTGTTGGAATTGTTGCTTCGCTTCTCAGAAAATGGGAAGCAGCAACTTTTAATCACCCTGCATGCAAGACCTGCTGCAGTGCCATATACCCTTCACACAGGAAGAGGAAGACCTTTGTGTTGTTTTTTTTTTAAGTCATCTGTGTTTTCAATGCATGTACATCTGCATGTTTGAGTCCAGACCTGCTTAACACCCCTGCACGTGTGCATGCTGCTGGATACAGGCAGAGGCTGACCTCCAGACCTCCCTGCTGGGGGAGTGATGTACACTCCACATCCGAGTACGGACCAAACCTCTTATTTACAACTTTTGAGCCAAACACAGCATTGCAAAGCACACTAAATCTCCGACTGTTATTTGAGTTTAGCTATTTGGTGGTCACAGTATAGCTGCTTTGAGCCTGACCTCCACAGCTAGCTTTGAGCCTGACCTCCACAATCACATTATGCAGGCCGACAAGTTCATAAATTTAAGCCTCAAGCCTGGTCCTAAAGAAGCAGAGTCTGAGAAATACAATACAAAGCTAGAGAAGCTGCTGCACAGACAAAGCCAAAAGGAGTTTCACCATTCCTGACCCCTGACGTATCTGACCACAGAACATACGGAAACTAACCCCAGCTACGAAGACGACAGTGTCATTCACTCCTTTCTTCCTTCTTTTTGTTAACAGGGACGGAGTGCACCCTGTGTTGAAAGTACTCTGTTTAAATGAACTTGAAAAACCACACTTGGCCTCTCTTGGATAGATTTCGTTTCAATGATCTATAACATACCCATAAAAGAGATGGGTTTTTTTTTAAAGTACTGTCTCTCTTCAAAGTAATGGTTAAGAAGAGGTATTACCAAGCCCTGAAGTAATTCACTCATCTGCCTCTCAGAAAAGGAGCTTCAGATGGGAGAACAGCATCTTTACCAGAACACAAACCAACTACACAAATGCTAAATACACAGAAACATCTCAGACCACACAGTAATCAGGCAACATACTGCTCACGTACTAAGTGAAAGCAAACACAGTCTGATCTAATTTAAGTGGATCTTTTACTGGGACCAGGAGGTCAGAAAAGGAGTAGTCCTTTAGAAAGTGACTGGATAAATTCATTGAAAGAAAATCTCATGGTACCTCCTCATAACCAAGGAAGACCCTAACCTGGGGGTTAGGTGACTGTTCAGGAACAGCCTCCAAATACAATTGTTTATACTTATATTTTCCCCCAGACCCTTGTTATTGGCCACTGTCAGACAGACGACGGACTAGATTTATCTTCAGCTTAGCTGGTACAACTACTGTGTTCTCTTAAGATGTTGTAACACCACAGATCACTTTTTAAAGGTCTTAATGGGGGCGAATAGGGCTATTATCTGATGTATATAGGATACAGCAGGAAAAAAGGATGACATATTGTTACCAGTTCTCAATAATGACAGCATAACACTGGCTCTCAAATTGATCTAATAGTTACAGAAAGTGTAACATTTAATACTTGAAGGGTATTTGCCACAGAAACATACCCAAAGGCTGACACCATCAACAGGACTGAAATAGGCTATAGATGGATCATCTAGAGGAAAAAAGGTTTAAGTGTATCCACTTGACTTTCCTCTGATTATGTTTGTAATTCTGACAATGTTTATGAGTGACTTGGAAACAAAGTGAGTAAGTGAGAAGGCACAATCACCACTGACAATCCATATGCCACCACTAGTCCGAGCCATTAGGCAGGGAGTGCCTCTGCAGACGATGCTCTCTGAAGATAACATTACTTTTTATAAAGCTTACCTTTATGTTTGCAGTACTTCCAGACATGGAACACGCATATCTCATCACAGTTATCTTCTTTGTTATCTTTCAAAGCTTTAGCAGGGGAATTGTCTTTTTTATCTGCAGAAAAGAACACATCAGTCCTTATTTGCCCTACCAAATTACAACTCTAAGAAAAAGACATTGCATTTGGTATTTCATCCCAGAAATAACAAGAAGTTGACTGCAGTAGCCACGTTAAGCACTTTCAGGATCTGACTACCTCCTGTACAGCCCACTGCATGAGTTAGGGCTTTGTGACTGACCAATAAACCCCTACAGTGGAAGAAGTCTCAGTGGAGATGGGCAAGGGCAATGTCATGAAGCTCAGAAAGTAACACAGGGTGTGACTGGCCACGGCTGTTGCAAAGACGCTGACTTTGTCTCAACAAAAAGGGAACCAGAGGGTGGCCTTTGCTGTAGATAAATGGCTATGTCAGCTGACTGGATCAACTGGTGGTGTAAATGTTTCTTTCTGAGTTCACTAAAAGAGAGCAAGTGTCTGTCTGAGTTAGCCAGTCCAGCGTGGGGGGAGGGAACAGGGAGCTCAGCCCAACAGAGGAGTATAAAAACTAAACAACTAGCAAAAGAATTTCAAAGGCAGAAACAAGCTTGAGCTGGCTTCAATCCACGTATTCCTTCCCGGGGACTGGGGACACCCAGCATCATGACAGTGATCATATTATATGGACGTGTAATGGGAATCATGTTGGTATTGTGATTGGACTGTGTATTGCAATGGCTGTATTTTGGAAAGTGTAACTTAACGTTTGTATTGTGTTTTCAGTATATTTTGTATCTCTCTGCTACATCAGAAATACTGTACTGGGCCTGGCTAGGATAGTTAATTTTCTTCACAGCAGCTCATATGATGCTGTTTTAGATTTTTTGACCAAAACAATGCTGATAACACATGATGCCCTAGCTTTCGCTGAACACTGTTTGCACAGCATCAAGGCTGCCTCTGTTTCTCACCCTGCCTCCCCAGTGAATAGACTGAGGAGGGTGTACAAAGAAACATTCCATACCATATAATATTATGCTCAACAATAAAAGAGAAAAGAGGGACTTTTAAGAGAGTTAACTATTTTTTTGCTCAAGAACTGGCATCAGCCTATCCATGGGAGGTGGTGAGTGATTGCCTTTGCATCACTTGCTTTGCTTTGTTTTCTTCTTTCTTCTTGCACTTACCCTTCACTTCCCTCCCCTCCCCCTCCATCTTGACTCTCCAGTCTTCTTGCTCTTATTTTTTCTTTCCTCTTCCCCCGTCCCACTGGGTGTTGGGGCGCAAGTGAGTGAGTGGCTGTGTGGTGCCTAGCTGCCCACCAGGGTTAACCTATGACACCCGTGTAACATCAACTATCTTCAAATAAGTAAATTTGATATTAAACATTACACCCTCCATGTGTGGAACATCTAAAAGAATCTAAAAACTCAGAGAATACTGGACTCTGACAGGCTTTAAAGCCAAGGCCGCTCTGCCCAGGAGGACAGGAGATTTACAAGTTCCTATTCGCTCACGGGAAGGTATATCAAGACAACCACTCTACTAACAAAGCTACATCCATTCCCTGGGGACAGAAGGCAAGGAAAGGTATCACACGCACAAGTACAACTCTGTCTCCTTTCCAGGAAAGAAGCAATATGTCCAGAACAGTACAGAGATTGATCCCAGACTACTCCCCATTGTGCTGCACAATGCCTGGGGAGAAATCGAAACACTCCTCTGCGGGCCATCCAGTAGTGTGGCTTTCAGCATACCATATCATAAGCACATAAGCTGCTCTCTGACTACCACAGGGAGCTGTAAGGCTATGTGAAACCAAATCCCAGTGAGAACCACTGATCTCAAGACTGGAGGAGTAGAAACAATCCATACCTTCATCTTTATTTCCAGCTTCTGTTGGCAACTGATGTTGGCTCTGACCAGGTACATTGCTACTGGGACCTGCATGAGAAGACTGAATGAACAGCACTGCTGGACCAGAACCTCAGCTAGTTTTGTGTGTTGAGGATTATATCTATGACACATGTAATTTTTGACTGGCACGCCACTGCTGATACAAGAGATCAGCAGTAACAGTTACAAATCCCAGCTAGTTACAATTATCAGCAGCCACTCAACAGCAATTTTGCATGCAGTATTTTAGGCAACAGTAATGCAGCTTTCCCTCCCACACAATTCGGCCATGACTTACTTCATTCATGAAAGCAGATCAATGGCAGAAGGGAAGAAAAAAATATACATTTTGTAAGAGAGGAAATAAGAAAGCTGATTCCACATGGAAGCAGTTGGTACTTATCTAGATACTTACATTCTGAAGGTGATATATGCAGTGTGGAGCCTACTGTTTGCAAAGGTATCCTCAGTTCTTTACTCCTTCTATCTGCCGTTTTTTTCACTATATTTTCTCTTGGTTTGTAGTTGTGTACTGAAAGCACAGAAAGGACGATGGGGTTTAGCTGTGACATAAGGCAAGAACGGCTTCTACCTTTATCAAACTCAGAATCCTATTTAAACCCAATGTTTCTTACAACATACTTTTCCCCTTCTTCAATTCCTTGTTGAATTCCACATGCTTGTGATCATATATAGTCTGGATGTTTGAAGCTACGCTCGCATCGATGCCTCCAGATTCCAACACTCTCAATGCATGGGTATCCAAGAGGTTGTGGGACCTCTTGCATGGAAAAAATCTACATTCCCCTTGGAGAAAGTGTCGACAAATATGAAGCTTGTGGCAGTTGGTTTGCTGGCTGCAGGCATCATCCTTTCTGTTGTAAAATTGGCAGACCTAGAAATGGCAAGGATAGATATAATATGACATGGAAAGGCACATTAGAATAAATTTTTTTTCTTTGTTCTATAGGCATGCAGCTTTAACAGCAGAAAAACAGTGACTAAAAGGCATGTGTTCATTGTGATTTCTTTTAATTCGGACAGATTTCTTGCATGGAAGAGCAGGCATTTCCAGCTGCCTCATGCATTCTGAGTTTTGAAGTTGTGCAGAGATTTTTTTACAAGAAAAAGAAAAGTCAATCCAACAAGAATTCATTTTTGGCACTCCTAAAAATGACAGTTGCATAACAACTGACTGTTTTACAGTTATTTTATTAGAAACCCCCCCTCCCAAACCAAACACAAAACCCAAACCAAAACCATAACAAAGAACAAACATCTCCATAAAAACATGTATACTATGTCAAATGAGGTATTATTTGGTTAATATTCAAAGATCACCTCCTCCAAGCTCAGGAGCAATGCATCCCTACAAAGAGGAAGGCAGGTAGAAAAGCCAGGAGACCTTCATGGATGAACAAGGAGATCCTGGACATGATCAGATGCAAAAAGGAGGCCTATGGGGAGTAGAAACAGGGGCAGGTACACTGGGAGGAATACAGAGGAATCCTTCGAGCAGCCGGGGATCAGGTTAGGCAAGGTACAGCTCAGATTGAATTAAATCTGGCCAGGGACATTAAGACAAACAAAGTTTGAGGTATTCAATGACTTTTTTGCCTCAGTTTTCACTGGCAAGGACTGCAGCCACACTGCCCATGATGCAGAATGCAAAGGCGGGGATTGGGAAAATGAAGAACTGCCCACTGTAGGTGAAGACCAAGTGCGAGACCACCTGAGGAACCTGAAGGTGCACCAGTCCATTGGACCCGATGAGATACATCCGCGGGTCCTGAGGGAACTGGCAGATGAAGTCGCTAAGCCACTGGCCATCATATTTGAGAAGTCATGGCAGTCTGGTGAGGTTCCTGCCGACTGGAAAAGGGCAAACATAACCCCTATTTTCAAAAAGGGAAATAAGGAAGACCCAGGAAACTGCGGGCTAGTCAGTCTCACCTCTGTGCCTGGCAACATCATGGAGCAGATCCTCCTGGAAACTCTGCTAAGGCACACAGAAAACAAGGAGGTGACTGGTGATAGCCAGTACTGCTTCACCAAGGGCAAGTCATGCCTGACAAATTTGGTGGCCTTCTACAAAGGAGTTACTGTGGCAGTTGACAAGGGAAGAGCAACTGATGTTATCTACCTGGACTTCTGCAAAGCATTCAACACCATTCCACACAATATCCTGGTCTCTAAATTGGAGAGACATGGATTTGACAAATAGACCACTTGGTGGATAAAGAACTGGCTGGACAGTTGCACTCAAAGAGTTGCAGTCAATGGTTTGATGTCCAAGTGGAGACCAGTGACGAGTGGCGTTCCTCAGGGGTTGGTACTGGGACCTGTACTGTTCAACATCTTTGTTGGCAACATGGACAGTGGAGTCGAGTGCACCTTCAGCAAGTTTGCCGATGATACCAAGCTGTTTGGCGAGGTAGACACGCTGGAGGGAAGGAGTGCCATCCAGAGGGACCTGGACAGGCTGGAGAGGTGGGCCCAAGCCAACCTCATGCAGTTCAACAAGGCCAAGTGCAAGGTCCT